CAAAATGAAGTGAGGTTTGTATCAGGTCTCTAGCTCACTATCACTACTCAGAGTAAAGAACCTGCCATCTGAGGGTTGCCCACTGCACTCATGAGGTGATGTTAGCAGGGCGTGGGTAGACTGGGCCGAGGAATTTTCCCAGTGGAATCAGTGCAGCTACTTCATGGGTGCCCCATAGTTAACTTATAGCTGCCATGAAGGGATAGCTAGTTTAGAAATGAGAAAAGAGGGAATGTTGAGAGAAATGGAAGGGGAATGAAATAGAACATTTATATTGTGCCTACTGTGCCCAGTACTGTGCTAAGTTCTTTTCAACAAATATTTCATTTGATCCTCACAACAACCCTGCAAGGTAGGTGCTATTATTATTCCTATTTCTCAGTTGAAAAAACTGAGGCAGAGAAAGGTTAAGTAACTTACCCAAATACTAAGTGTCTGAGACTGGATTTGAATTCAGGTCTTTCTGACTCATACACACACACACACACACACACACGTATGTATATATGTATATATATACACATATGTGTACACACACACACATATATATATCACATCATGGGCTTTGCGTTTGCAAGTTTTTAAACTGATAAGCAAGGTAAAAGGCTCTCAATTGTCAACTGGCTGGGAAAAGAGGATTGATGCAATTGATGCAAACAAATACCAGCTTTGACCAAGTTGAACTCTCTTTTGGATGTCTCCAGGCAGCTCTGTACATATGCTCTATGAGAAATTAGTAACAATTTCCCTTAAGAATCGCAGGAAGGTAGTACTTAAGAGTCAGAAGACCTGAATTCAAGCCTTAGCTGTGCCCCACAATAGAATTATTTCACCTCTTTGGACTCAGTTTCCTTTCCTGTAAAATAAGGGAATTGGACTTTCTGTGACTCTATGATGTTATATAGCTCCTAAAGCATTTGTATTGATGGCAGCCAAGATTCTGGAGTTAGGGCAGCTAGGTGACACAATGGATAGAGTGAGTGCCAGGCCTGGAGTCAGGAAAATTCATCTTCTGGAGTTCAAATCTGGTCTCTGACACTTGCTAGTTGCGTGACCCTGGGCAAATCATTTAACCCCAGTTGCCTTGTTTCCTCAGCTACATAATGAGCTAAGGAAGGAAATGGCAAACCACTCCACTTCTTTGCTAAGGAAACCCCAAATGAAGTCATGAAGAGTCAGACATAACAGAAACAACTGAACAACAACAACACCATTCTGCAATAGGAAAAGGTTAATCAAGGATGCTAATAAGCAACTGAAATGTCTTAGAATGGAGATGGTGCAGCTTTGTTTGAAAAATAACATGATCCAAGCCACTGGTAAGACAGGGAATGCCCATCAAATGAGACAATGTATATAAAAGCATTTTGTAAACTTCAGAGTTCTATGAGAATTTTGTTTTGTTGCTGTTCAGTTATTCAGTTATGTCCAACTCTTTGTTACCCCATGGACCACAGCATGCCAGGCCCTTCTATCTTCCACTATCTCTCAAAGTCTGTCCAAGTTCATGTTCATTGTTTCCATGATACCATCTATCTCATTCCCTGCCATTCCCTTTTCCTTTTGCCTTCAATCTTTCCCAGCATCAAGATCTTTTCCACTGAGTGCTATCTTCTTATCATGTGGTCAAAGCTTCAGTATTAAGTAATAAATTAAATTACATAGTAAATTCAGTATTAAGCTTCAGCTTCAGTTTTTTGACTTTCCAGTGAATAGCCTGAATTAATTTCTTTAAGTATTGACTGATTTGATCTCCTTGCTGTCCAAGAGACTCTCAAAAGTCTTCTTCAGCACCACAATTTGAAAGTCAATTCTGTGGCACTCAGCTTTCCTTATACTCCAACTTTCACAGCCATATGTTGCTACTGGAAAAACCATAGCTTGAACTATTCAGATCTTTGTTGGTAAAGTAATATCTCTGCTTTTTGATATTCTGTCCAGATTTGCCATAGCTTTCCTTCCAAGGAGCAAGTGTCTTTTAATTTCATGGCTGCAGTTGCCATCTGCAGCGATCTTTGAACCCAAGAATGTAAAATCTGACACTGCTTCCATTTCTACTCTCTCTATTTGCCAAGAAGTGAAGGCACCAGTTGCCAAGATCTTAGTTTTTTGATGTTAAGCTTCAAGCCAGCTTTCACACTCTCTAACTCTCATCAAAAGGCTGCTTAATTCTTCACTTTTTGATATCATGCAAATTGTAGCTGTTATTATTTTTTTTAAAAAAGACTTTAATTTCCATCTGGTACCCAATGGTTAGAGTTGATTTGACATTATGATTTGAAAGTTTTTCCATCATTAGTAGTATACCTATATGACAGGTTTTATTTTTTTAAGGCATCAAGCATTTTAAGCTATTACAAAGATTAAAGCTTCTTAATCTTTTTGTCATGGTCCCCTTTGGTCCCCAATGAAACCTGTGGGCCCCTTCTTAGAATAATTTTTTAAAATTCATATTTGAAGGAAATGCGAAATTTCAGTTAGTTGTTAATGGAAAATGAAGATGTAATTTTTTTCTATCCAAGTTCATGGGCTCCAGGAAATCCAGCCCCCAAAGGGTCTGTGGACTTCAAATTAAGAACCCCTAATATAGATGACATTGAATAATCATTACCAGGTCCCTACAATCTAGTGAAAAGAAAAATGTTGAACCTGGGCAATATAGGTGATTACTTGGGTCATGCAGCCCAAGTCAGGGTACTTACCTGAACTGTACAAATTGCTCATTTTGCTTAGCTTTGAATGCCTGATCACTCTATGTAAGAATCAGACAAATCATGGGTCTAGCAAAGTTCTAGGATCTCAATTCAACCTGGACTCTGGCCTATAAGTGTAAATTACATTTGACTGAATGGAAATTGGTCTAATAGTCTCTTCCAATGGTATGGGACTTTGAAAATGTGATTTTTGCTATTTGGTCAGAGTTTTTCTGAAAGTTTTTAGTTAACTATTACTATTTATATAGCTATTATTTTACAGTACACATATCATAGGAATATAAACCTTAATGCAAATCTGACTTCACTACATAAGTTATATAACCAGAGTCTGGCAAAAGTCTATTTCAATGTCTTTTGATTTATCATGGTCATTTTTCATCTCTTTATAATACAGAAAGCATAGAAATGTGTTATGCTCCATGTTAAAATGATTCTAAGTTTCAGGAAGCAGATTCATCCAGCTATAATTTCATTTAATTCACCCTACTTTTAGTTAAGCAGTTAGGAATGGGCATCCACAGTGACCCTTAGCCTATTCCATCTGAAGTCACTTGATCTCTTAATGAAGTTCGTAATGGGAATCTTGCTTAAAAGTATCTTTCAGCTGGGAAAGCTCCCCCAATACAAAATAATACCAGGAGGCTGCAGCTACACCTGCAGTCATTTCACTGGAAGCAGATGCAAGTGCTTTTAAAAACTTTTGCTTAGTGAATCTTACTACATCCCTATTGGATTCAAAGAAAATGCTTTCAAGATGTTCATACCATTTCAGCAGCCAAAATACATGGTAAAAAGGTGTGCAGGGGCTTGGAAAACTTTCCACCAGGGGGTACTCCTTCTAATAAAAGTGACAGATGGAGAAAGATTTTTGAAGTCACTTCTATTTTAATATTCCCAAAGAAAAAATACGTGTTTTGACCACAACAATTGTAACATTTATTTCTTTCAGCAACATTTGCTGCTAAACATTTGACTGTCAAAATGGTACCAATGAAAACATGTATATGCTAAAATTAATGACTATTTTAGAAAATGGTTACCAGTGGTGATACAGTGAGAGAGCAATGGTTAACTTTATTTTCCTAGCCACAGCTCATAAGCCAACAATACAAAAACCAAGAGGGTTGGAAGAACTAATTTCACCCCTCAGAAGAAAGCTTATCCTCCCTCTATGACTATGAGGAGCATCTTCTTGCAACTTGTAGAACCAGCAAGGGGAAATTAGGCTGATTATTATATCATAACAAAATTAAATTGCTTGTGCCTTATTTATTTTTTGTAAATTTGTGTCAAAATTAGAAAAGAAACCAAAGCTCTTGCCTCCATATCTCTCATGCTTGCCATGGGGAAATAGTTTTCCACTTCTGTATAGTGGTTATTGCCACAGTGATTTTTTCAGATACTTAGTATTTTTAGTCAAATCTTCATCACAAATAAAGGAGAGATAAAACACAGAAATCCTTTCCTATTGAATTAATTTGATTTTTGTCTTTTGTGATGCCAGCTATCAAGCTTGCCGAATAAACCAGTTTTGATTCATAAATAATGGTTCCATTATATCTACTGTGCCACTGGTCAGAGTACCTGAAATTTTAATTCACTTGTTCAGCTAAATTTCATCCTCAGTTCATGGCCATAAAATTCCTTATTGACAAACTTTCAAGCCAACTTTGACTCTGAGGTATCTAGTCAACATTTTTCTTCTGTGTGGATATTAGTTTATTGAATAAGTGGCATCTGTTTTCCTCCACATCACTGGGAGAGGAGGTATTTCCTTTTGACAGCTTTGCACGATTTATGGGTTTGCATGCTCTGAAGAAAAATAGTACTAAGCAAAAAATTCCAATTCATTACCTCTCAGTACTTAATTAAGCTCATACACATTGCACACTATAGGTGAACTCTGAAATGACTGTGACAGAAGCACAGCCGAGAGTTATATTATCTTTATAAGACAGAGAAGATTTTAACTATCTTGACCTCATTTTTCCATCTATGATATTCATAAATTTTCCTTCTTTTTTTTTCTCCCTCTTACAACTGGTTGTGCAGAACTGTTTGAAAAACAAGCTGAATTCCTAGCCGCTTCCTCTTAATCTGTGGACCCAACCCCCAAGTTGTTTTTATAAACTACGAAGTCAAACAGTAGTCATTACTATCTGACTTAAGGGTGCTTCGTGGGAGGCTGTGGAAGTTCTGTTCACAGGTGGTTTGGTTAGAGGAAGGGGAGCAAACATAGCTAAATTTGCACTAACAAATGGTAGGTACATGCCCAAATTTTACCTGTCAGGGTTCTGGGTGCATACGTGCATCTGTAAAAGGATCCGCTGAGTGAATGTCTTAAAGCATTGCCCACATTTCCAAAGGTGCCAGTCACTAAACTCAGAGTTGAGTTGGCTGGTTGAAGTTGGGCTTGCAAGAACTCGCTGGTTTTTTACATTGATTTGGTTAAATCCTGACTCGATGGGCCCAGACTTATCCAGGAGAGAGAAATTCCGGCTACATGGAGTCTGTGGGAAAACTACAGAGCGCTGTGGTGTGGCAGGAGAGAGCTTGCTGCTTTTGTTAAAGGACTGCAGGGTGTCTTGTCTGCACATGGCTTCCATTACAGTTGAAGGGACATTCACTGGCAGAACAATAGCAAGAAAGAAAGAGTGGGAAAAATAGATCAGTTTTAAGGACAATTGTAACATGGCTCAAGAAAAAAAAAACATTGTTTTCATTAAGTAACAGCTCAATCAGCCAATACTTATGGAATACCCACTACGTGTCCAGCCCTATGATAATTTCTACAAGGATCCATAAAAAACTATATGGCAAGGTCCTTGTCCTCAACAACTTTACAATCTAACTAAAGAGACAAGACACACAAAAAAATAGGGAAACATAAAATGTTATACATAATTAAATAACATTGTGTGGTACAGGCTATAAACATTGCCAATGGTCAAGTGAGAGCAAGATCAGTGAGCAATTAAGGGAAAACTTAAGCCATGCCCTTAAGGATGGTTGGACTTAGAATGTGGGAGAGAAGAGGACCTTCTAGGTAAAGGAGTAGGCTAAAATGACCATGGTGTGTTTATGGAATGGTGAGGAGATTGGTGTGACTATCAAGAACTACAGGAAATAAATTTGGCTTGCTGGCATGGGGTCAGATTATGGAAGTCTTTGAAAGACAGAAAGAGAAACTTAAATTTAATGCCATTGGAAGATGAATCAGTGAAGATTTCTGAGCATAGGAGTGAGAGTGAAAGTAACATCTCAGAAGAGATTTGAATCAAGGAGACTTTCAGTAATCCATTTATGAAGAGACAAAAACCTGAACTAGGATGATGGCAATAGGCATGAAGGGAAAGGAATCAAAGGGATTCTTACTTTTGAAGGAAAATAATCTAATATTCTTGACCTTTTTTGCTCATTTAGAAAAGCAGCTATCATATTGGTAAAAACTTATTAAGTAGTTTCCAGTTAACCTTGACATCAAAGGAATGAAAAATAATGAAATGTTCAAGAGAAGGAAAATGAAACCACCAAAAGATATAGCATGAAGCAAAATTAGAGAGAGTAGGAAGAAAACTGCAAGAGTGGCAGAGGAAGAGGCCCAGTAAATGGGAAGGATGCCGGGAAAGTAGAGGGAGACTGACTAAAGGCGATGCTAAGTAGTATAAATCCTCTCTCCTGGATTGAGGCAACTTGGCTTTCTAATCTTCTGCTATTCTCTCCTAAATATCTGGGGCCTTCAAGTCAAATTCCTATGAGATGACATTCTGTATTATAAACAAAAGATGAGGATCATATTGATACTGATATTGATGTTGATATTGATATTGATTTTTGAGACACCCACTGAATGGCTTATTGAGTGATAACTAAAAGTGACAAAATCAAATGCTGGTAAAGCTGTAAAAGGACTGATATATTATATATAGTGGATGGAATTGTAAATGGGTGGAATCTTTTTTGTAGAGGAGTCTGGCAGAATACAGGAAAAGTCACAAAAATAATTATACCTTTTGACTCAATCATTAGGAATGTACCCTAAAAGAATTAATTTGTAACAACTTTATTTTTCATCATAAAGAACTAGAAGCCACCTATGTATCCAATAGTTAGTAAATGACCAAATAAACTATATTATGTCAATGAAATGGAACACTATGAAGGCCCCAAAAATCACTATAAAAATATAAAGGAATTTGGAGAGTTGTGTGAAGTAATGGGAAAACAGAGAATAAAATTAAAAAAAAACTATATGGAGATGGCAGTTATAAAAAAGTCAACATGGAATAATTCAAAGAGTGATTATCATGAAGACTCAGGTATATGTTCTGACTCTTCTATGTACCAGCAATGTAACCTGGGGCAAATCACTTAACTTCTCTGGGCCTCAATTTTCCCTGCTTTAAAATGGAGATAGTAACATCTATACTACCTACTCCACAAGTTTATTTTGAGGAAACTGCTTTGCAAGCCTTAAGGCACTCTGAAGATTCAAGTTATTATTATAAAAAGAAAAATATATACATAAATGCGAAGATGAAATAGATACAAAAGGAAAGGAACACAAATATCATCACTAATAAACTGATATGTTCATAATGCCTGGAGGAATTGGTTTTTTAAGCATAATTTATTTTAAATATATTTTAAATTGGTTTTATTGCTGCTTAATATTAGGTATATAATAAATTATTTTCAAAAGAAAAGCAAGCTTGTCCAGCAAATTGACCCCACTATAGGCCCCCACCCCCCACTCTCTCATCTTCAATCTCTCCCTATCTACTGGCACCTTTTCAGCTGCCTATAAACATGCCCAAGTCTCTCACATCCTTAAAAAAAACTTTCACTTAGTCTGACCATCCTTGCTAGCTATCAGCTTCTATCTTTTCTCTTCTTCCTATCTAAATTCCTGGAGAAAACTATCTACACTTGGGCCTTCCATTCTCTCATTCTCATCTAAACCCTCTGTAATCTGTCTTCCAACCTCATCATTCAATAAAAATGCCCTCTCTAAAGTTAATAATGATCTCTTAATTGTAAAATCTAATGATCTTTCTCAATCTTGATCCTCCTTGACCTCTCTGAAACATCTGACACTGTCAGTCATTTTCTCCTTCTGGATATGCTCTACTCTCTGTGATCCTACTTTGTCTGGTTCTCCTTCTGTTTGTATGACTGATCTGTCTCAATCTCCTTTGCTGACTCTTCTTTACTCCTCTAACCATGGGTGCCCCCTAGGCTCTGTCTTTCTTTTCACGCTGTTTTATCTCATTTGGTGATCTCATCATCTCCCATTGTTTCACAAGCTTTCATTGTTTCATCTCTGTGGGGATAATTCCCAGATCTACCTATCCAGCTCTAAAATCTTTTCTGAATTTCAGTTATGTATCTCCAACTACTTCCTGGACATCTTGAACTGAATATACCCCAAGCATCTCAAGTTGAACGTGTCCAAAACCAAACTCATCTTTCCTCCCAAACGTTTTTTTTTTTTTTTTACTGTGAGAGTACCACTCTTTTCCTAGTCACCCAGGTCCCACAACCTCAATATCATCCTTAATTCCTCACTCAAACTAACCCACTTACATATCCCCTTCAATGCCTCAGTTTCCTCATCTTTAAAATGAAGGGAAGAGACTAAATAACGAAGTTTCTGCCTATTCTAAATCTTACAGTATTATGAGACTGCTCAGCCTAGGAAGAAACTATTTCCTGTTAGTTGAGCTATCTTAGGACTATCTATTTAGGTCCAAGTGAAAATGCAAAGACTGAGTTCCATTCTCAATCTTGTCATACATTGTTGACATAATAGTTAAAATATCCCAAAGTCCAAGTTTCTACATCTGTAAAATCAAAATGAGGGGTTGACATGGAAAAAAATGGTGTTTTAGGTCCCAGGTAAACAGACGCCTAATAATTTCATAAAGCAAAAAAGTTGTCTGACCCTCTTCCTACTTGCTTCATGACTTATCTTGATAAGACTATGTCAAGAGATTTTTTTTCTCTCAAACATTTCTGCTTAGCCTATAGACTGTCATTTTGTATTGAGGAAGGAATTCACTTCTGAAATTCTAGAGCTGGTTTCCAAAAGAGAAAGGAAATTTTGACCATAAGTTAAACTATAGTTTCACAGCTCAAACATGAAGATATAAACTTTGGGTCTGGTCCTATGGACAAGGAAATACAGTAGAAAATTACCTACTTACATGCCTAAAAACAAAACCCAATGATAAGGCTCCACACTGCAACCTACTGAGGAAAAAGGAGTCATCATCATGATTGAGACACTGTGTCATTTTTAGGTTGAGAGCAAGGAATCAAGGAGTGGCCACTTCTATGGATGGAGAAACAAAGAGAGCAATAGGTCTCTTCGACCAATGATGGGAGAGAGGGAGCATACAGTGTACTTTCTAAACCTGAAGATGTCACCCTGCAAAGTAGTGGAAGAGCACTGAAAGATACTTGACATCTTTCTAGTCCTGGCTCTACCATTGACTAACCATGTGACCTTGGGCAAGTCATTTTACTCCTCTGGGCCTCAGACTATTTCCCTTTAAAAGGAGGGGATTGGTCTAACTAAACCCCAAAGTGCCTTTCAGTTCTAACATTCTAGAATCCTTCCAGATAGACTAAAGCAGCACTCTGAAAGCTTGAGATTATAGGGTCTGGACTATCTGTTGTGATCTAAGAAAGGGATACAGAACAAGAATTTTCAAATCTTCTAAATTCATGACTCCTTTGTTTTAAACAACAGCAGCTACAACAACAAACTGTCTGAGCCCTGTTAAGGTATTCAGATTTGAGGTATTCATACAAATATAGACATATACATATGTATATGTAACTGGATAAATTTAAAACATTGTTAGTTTGTAAAGATCAATCTATGTTAGAAAAAGGGGGGTCAAATATAATAATAAGAATAACAACATAATCAATATTAGTGTAGTTGTAGAGACAATATAGTTGACAAAGTACAGGGCTTAGGGTCCCTAACACATGCTCAAATATTATCGGTGTGGCCCTGGGAAATTTATTAACCTGAATATACCTCAACAAATTCCCTAGAAGTTATCTACACAGATCCTATGTTAGAATAATAGTTTAGGAGATGGGAAGGTTGTCCTAAAATTCCTCTCAATTCTTTTTACCTGGTGCCTTATCTCACTTATCTTAAAACAAAGGAAAGGGAGTCCCTGCCAATGGGAATTAGCACTTTCATTGTCCTTGATTACATGACAATGAAAGGAAGATGAAAGCATAACTTGGAACAGATTAAGGAAAAGGACTGGATTCAGGAATTATATCCTCACACAAACCTTTTAAACAGACACACACACACACACACACACACACAGCAGTAGCAGCAGCAGCAGCAGTAAAAAGACCTATAGCCATACTGCATTTGTGACACATCCCATGGAATCTTAGAGTACTGTAGAAGACAGTTCAGTCCCTATAACAGTCCACATAACTATCCCAGTTCAAAAGGATCTGTAAATGACCCTCATACTATATTATAGGAAAATTACTCAAAACAAAACAAAACATTTTCCTAGACCACCTCAAGGAAGTTACAACCCTGCTAAAGTTGGATCAGAGATAGGACAGGAATTAGACTGATGA